GTTTAGATTATAGCTCATGTAGAGAGTCTTTGGGGAGCTGAAGCCCGCCATGGGGCCTTGATGCCGTTGATGCAGCCTCCGTAGCCCATGTGCTTTGAGCAAATCCTGATAAATAGGGTTTAGGGTTTAGGGTTCTCAGCTTCATGCTGCCCAATGGGTCCAGGGGTTCAGGCGTGCTGACTTTAAAAAAAACTCAAAGTCCGGGCAATATGGACGCAAACAGCCCGCCACTCAATGCCAGGAAAGGAGCTCGCTATAGGCCTGCTTCACCGCCTTTGAACAGCAGGTGCCTGGCTGCCGCCACCACTGAGAGGAATCAAAAAATGCAGCGTAGTTCAAAGGCAGGCCAGCAGCACATTGATCATGCAACTCGCTGCAGTACTTCGATGATTTTTGCAAAGTATTCAGACCTGCATCGCCTCAGAACAGCTTGGCTGAGCTCGCCTCAGAAAACAGAAAACCCGCCCACTAGATGTTGGCCGGGGAGCCGCAGGCTTCACACACTTTGTGCAGCTTTGCTGTTCGGGCAGCCACCAACGAGGACGGCGGTGTCCTCAATCCTCTGCCTCATCTCAGGGGTATAAACCAGAGCCTGAACTTTTGGACAGGTGAGTTCAGGGCAAGAATGACCTGAGGCTGCGGCTATGCGCAGCAGTTTCATATACCGAAGCCTGTGTAGCATCTATCTTTGACTTCAATGCAAAGATGCAACCTCCCATGTTTTCATGTATCAGCTGCAGGGTTGACTGAGAATGCATTCTGCGACGTAGGCATTTTGCCGACAAGAAGCTAGCAGTAAGCAAGCCCAACTACAAATCACCTTCATTGCACGGAGAAACGGCTAATAGGAGCCATTGGCTGCAGCATCATCGGCAACCTCAAAACCGTCCAACTAGCAGCATACCTTAAGCCATCTTGGAAGTGCTCGTTGGGTTTTTCTTCGAAGCCCTCTCCTTGCTCGTTGACAAGGCATGTCTCCCGAATTTTAGGATGCATGCAGCGTGCAGAACCTCGGAGAGGGATGCTAAATAATGCTAATGATCTAAATCTGAAATTGAGCCTGACCGCAGAAGCAGTCAGGCGACTCCCAGAAACAAGCACACCAAGAATAAGTTGAATCACAGCCTATGTTTCGTAGACACCGTGCTTGCAGTTTCAGGAGCCCAGGAACATTTGCCAGGGAGCTAAACGAGGCCTTGGTCATTCCTTTGGCCTCGTCCCTAGGAGCGGCTTAAGCGCTCCGACATGCACTCCTCCGTGCGGTCACACACGCCAGAACGGCAAGCGCCAGCCGATGAAGTCGGGAAGCTTAATCGACTTCAGCGTCTGACCGCGAATCCTCGCCCGCGGAAGTCGTGCAAGAATGCGCATGCAGCTCACACAGAAACACAGCAACTATTTACAAGCACAAAAAAATCCAGGCGAGCAGCATATCCACCTCCATTGCCTGAAGCATCTTGTCGTCCACTGCAAGCCATGGTGCTTGTTGCTTCTTTGGTTTGCCCTTCGCTTGGGCCTCTTGCCAATCCTCGGCGCACGTGTCCCTGCAGAATTGACGGAACGCTACCAGAACGTTGTGTTCCTTGTTGAAGTGGTTTGTCTCACAAGCACGACTCCAATTTGGAATCTTGCCCAAAGATCTAAATGTTCTTCTGGTGTTGGAGGTTGTGATATGACATTGGTCCCCCTGAAGCCAACACACCACAACCTGCAAAGACCTGCTAGATCCTGCTAGGATTTTTGTTCTTCCAGGCTTGCGCCCACAGCAATGATAAGGATCTTGAAGAAAAACCTTCATGCAGTTCCAAGCCTGATGCAGGATGCTGGTCTCAAGCGTTGCAGTCTTCTTTTGCGCTTTGGCGATCTCATGGAGTGCCGCTTCTGACTAGACCCAACCAACACTCCAGCATTTGTTATATTACCGGACGACAGGGTACAGGGTATGGGGGCTCTCAATGTCACAGAAGGGAGCCTTGGTAATGAAAACCACCACGAACCCTTCATTTTAGCCCAGGCTCGTTCAAACGCCGATGTGCCTCCGGACTGCTCCTGGACTAAGATGCTGGGTCACTCTTAGAATTATTGCCCCTTTTGAGGTATAAGTGCAGAACGCAAAGAGCTTCGAGGGTTCAACAGTAGCGCCCTGATATTCGCGTAGGCATTTGGACTGAGCAGGCTATGCCGCCAAGTCAGCCAAAAATTCTGGGCGATATCTGTGATTTCTAGTACTGCCCAATCTCCAATCCAAAAGTCCCTCTTCTGGCAAGTTGCCTTGCTTCCTCGAGCCCAGAACGTGCTCGGCTTCGGTATTCTCTGAAGCGAAGGTGGCCGCCGTTGGTGGCATGGGCTTGGAGCATCAGCGCAAGCTGGGTGCAGGCAACGCCTGGTCAGGATATTCCCCGCAGCTCCTCTGTGGTTACATTGGAAGAATTCTGAAAGCTTCTTGCAATATAGATACCAATGTGGTACTGACATTGCGGCGATGCCGGGTGGCGAGCAAGACACGACTCTGACACCTCTATCACACGGAGGTACAAGTCCTGGCAACAAGCTGTTTGAGTATGGCAAAACCTTCGGAAGCGCGAAGGCTAGCGATACAACGTGTCGGTGAGCACCGTCTCTGCACAAACCCTGGTCCTCTTGGCGCTGCGAGTTTTCAGAGATCTGGGCTGCTTGCCGCAAGTAGGCAACACCCAAGTTCCTGAAATCTTGAATCTTCAGTCTGGCTCTGCCAAGTTGTGCACTGAAACCGCAACTTCGTTCGTAATCATTTCTGAGCAGCACGTAAGGTGCGCGAAAATCGGGATCCAGCAGCAAACTCTTGTTCATGAGCTCCACCGCACTCTCCAGCAGACCCATCTCCAGAGCGGCCATTCCCAGAAGGAAGAGCGCATTGGAGTTTGAGGGGAAGGAGTCCAAAGCCTTTGCAAAGTGCTCTTGCCTCAGGTACAGAAGCAGAAAGAGCCGCAAGAAAGCATGATGTATGCAACCGTATGTAGGAGCATGTCCAAGCATCCTCCAGTATGGGATGCAAGCACCAAACTTTGAGCAATGCGTGGTGACCGTATGTTATTACCATACGTAGCCGGTATGAGAGCGGCAAGGAAGACTGAAGATACTGAAGCCTAGCAGGTATGCTTTAGGCTTCGCGTCAGTGCGTCAGGTTGCGCGTCTCTCCAACGATCAGGAGCACTTCCCCGAGCAAGCAGAACGCCATGAGCACGATGCACGAAAGAGGCGACGCAAGATTTCGCTGGGCTCGACGTGAATCTTGCTATGGATGCCTCGACATCACCTGGTGGCGGATTACGCAGATTGCCTGGTTATGACTTATAACCAACTATTATAATAGTTTCCACTATATTTTCCATTATCCTATATACCCCCCAATATAGCCGCTACATAGCAGTGGTTTCCATGTTCTTTCCATTATCCCTACTGTATATAACCCCAATATATAGCATCCCACCCCAACCACCCCAACCGACAGATGAAGCCAAGCCGCGCAGATCACGCAAGCGCTGCTCCGGAGTGCTCATCGTCATCGCACGTCTTGCAGTGAGATACGCAGCAAGTTCCTAAGAGCACGAAGTGCGCAACCAAGAATCGGCGAAAAAATGTTGAGGGTTTACAGGAAAAGCTCAGCTCAGTCATTACAGAACATGGCCCTAGGTTCGGGTTGGCTCTTGTACTGCTCCTTGAGCCGCTCGGGTGTGAACTCCGCGGCTCCAAAGAGCTGCTGCAGAGCGGGACCCAAAACAGCGTAGACCTCACGAGGAGGATACCGTGGAAGATACCAAAGTTTTCAAAGCAAAGACAAGGGCCCAACAAGATCCAACAAGGGCATGAAGGGCACCACAGCCTCGGTCAAGATGTAGCGCTTGACGATGGCTGTGCCAGTCTTCGCCTGGCTGATCAGGCGCTCCCGGACGTGATCGGAGGTCCTTGGGGTGCACTTTGCGCTTTCTGAATTGGGCCGCATTTCCTGGAAAGTCTTATTCTGTGTGCTGATGTGCTTCATGTCCGCGTGTGGCAGCTTCCAGTAGCCGCCGAGCCAATCGACCTGAATGTCTTCAGGCGTCAGGGACTCGGAGGCTCCCGACCTCCCAGAAAAATTGACATGACGGGAAAAAAAAAGCCAACTAGCGCTTCAGTGCGACAAAACAAGAAACGCAATAGGTTCGCCTGCGATGAAGAGCGAAACCAACCCGCATGGTGCCATCAAATGGTCTGCCGCCGCTCATTGTTGGCATGGAGGAGCAGCATCGCTCCTCAGTCGGTCCAATCTTCAAGAACTCACGGACCCCGCTGCAGTCCAAGCCGCAGCCACAAAGCTGGGACTCTCATTTGCCCACCAGTGGCGGACGTGCTCCTCACCAGGTGTGGTCACAACCCAACCTCTTAACAAGCATTCTGTCCCCGAAGACTTTTGAAACATCGAATAGTCCTCATAAGAGTCTTTGGTCACGAGGTCCCCAGCAGCACCGGCCAAATGTTGCAGCCGAGGCCGAAACCAAGCCTCCAGATCTTCAGGCGGCTCGAGGATGTCCTGCACACACCCTCAAAACAGTACAATTATGCAGGGTTTGGGGTTTGGGTTTAGGATTTTTTTGCCATTTGGGTTGCGGCTGGTACCCGTTGAATTGACCTCAGACTATGCTTGCACGCATACTTCCAGCCACGCGCCAGTGCCAAGGGTCAGTGTGATTCAGTCCTGCAAGACCTCATCCAGCTCATGAACGGGTGCAATCAGAACACCTGGACAGGAATGACCAGCATCGCAACACGAGCAGCTTCTCTTCGCCAACGAGCAAAGCCTGCTGCCCGGGATCTATTGCAGAGCTTGAGCACCACCAGATCGTTTTCTGTTACTCCCAGCTCCGCTGCAATGTGACTGGCAATTCCAGCATAGTAGACACGCGGGAAGCACACCTGCAGCAGACAAGCAATGCAAATCGCAGTACAAGTTTATGCAAGGCTACATGTGCCGAAGGTTCGGTCACAAGAGGTGTCTCACCGGCTAACGCGCCTGGGTTGGTATGACGTGGGCAAAGCCTGTGACGTCGAAAAGGTCATGCCTTTGACAGGACTCACACAGCTGGCGCGTCCAAGATTTGGCGGACAGGGCTCAAAGAAGTCTTCTCTGGCAGGACACGTGAGCTTCTTATCCTTGGAGATGAAGTTGTATGTCCTTGCTTGATCCAAGACCATCTCCAGAATGTTTTTCTCAACATGCGCACGCTTTCAGAGCATGCTGTCAAGTTTGGTATCCGAACATGTCTCACATAATTGTGAAAACCAGAAAGAGGCAATACAGCGAAGGATCTGCAATTCCACATCTTCCTCTTCCAAATGGTACTGTGCCTCAAAGGTCTTCTGGATCGGTGCACCATCACCTGAAACACACACCGCTGGACACAGGCACTCCAAATTGGACAAACATGATACTTGTAGTTTCCATCAATAGGGGGACCCCAATATAGACCCCAAAATACTATAGTCCCGATTATGGGGACCCCCAAAAAAAGGTACCCCTAATTTTGGGAAACGCCTACATGATGCAAACCCTAAACCCTAAACCCGAAGGGCCTGAAAACTTGGAGATTCGGCCATCACCTGCATTGTGGATTCCCAGGCAGACTTTCGATGCTGGCATATTATGGTGCATTATCGTATATTATGGTATATTAAAAACTATTATTGTATATTATAATATATTCTGGTATATCAAAGTGTATTATGGTATATTCTGGTATATTACAATATATTATGGAACATGATATGATGGTACACTACAATATCTTATGCTATGTTATGGTATGCTATGGCGTCGACTGCAAGATCTGTCAGAGACGCATTTCTTCAATGTGGCTCTGCTGCGAAGCCCTGAGCGCGCCTGTCTCCACCCTAAACCCTAAACCCTAAACCCTGCCTGTCTCCAGAACTTGTATCCGATCCAAGACCGGCTTGAAGGCGTCGTACTTCAAATCCACGATGCCCCAGAACAAAGTCTTGACCTGAAGGTTTCCCAAAATAAGGGGATCCCAATATAGACCCCCAAACTACTATAGTCCTTATTATAGGGACCCCCAAAATGGTACACCTAATTTTGGGAAACCCCCACCTTGCCCTTACCATTCTCTCGGAGCGTGCTAGGGGAGGGGGCGTGTCGAAGGATACGGGACATGGCTGATGCTCTTGTCGCAAAGATCCAACCATTGTCGTCGTAATGCACGTGCGGATCACCGGCGCCAGCAGAGAACGGACAGCGGATCTGCGGGAGGACCAGGTCAGACACCACTCCTTGGAGAACCTTCTCCTGGAGTTCGAAGCGACTGGAGAACACCACCACAGCCTCGCGGGGCAGCAAGTCCTGAGGGAGACATGGACTTCCCGACAGTGCACAAGCTGACTGGATCCTAGCCAGGTCTGCTGACATGCAGCTCACTTTCCCAATCCCAAAGGTCCAGCACTTGATCTGGAACGTATCCTTGAGGCGGATCCTCGACGTCTGTTCTCATGAAGTTAGGCATCAGGAGGGCGATGAGGTCCGGCGGTTCAGTTTGCACCAGCTCACCAATCTCTTCATAGCAAGCCGTGCGAATTCCCGGAAGTAGTCGTGGATCTCCTGGTAAATACCGCACACCACCAGACAAAAATGCCAGAAAACGAGCAGCTGCAGGTCAGAAACGACAAGGCTCCTTCTTGCCTTTCCATCATGATCTCTCCTTGCTGCTTCTTCTGCAGGAAGGTCCCAAGACCGAGCTGGCCGCCATGGATCAGCACCTGCACAGGAAAAGCTCCCCAGACAGTGCAGTGTGATCTAGCTTCCACAAATTAGGGGTCATTCTTGGGGATCTCCACCTGTGGGGCTCCTAAACCCCTATCAAGCATCATCCAGCAATCAACAGCACCACCCTTGAGGCCCGCGCCCAGGCTGGGCCTCCCGTGTGGCGCTGGCGCACTCGGGTGCACAGCGCAGCGCTTGCCTCAGATCGCGGGCCCGAGCAAAGAGATCAGCATCCTTGGAAGTCGTGTCTTCCAATACATTCCAATACCTTTGTGATGGCAGCAGCTGAGCGACCGCATCCAGCCGTAACCAGCCACCCTCTTCACGACCGCGCACTTCGGTACCTTCGAAAAGATCGCCTCAGAACGCTGACATGAGGACTCTCCCAGTTGAAGAGATTTGGGAAAGGACATGCAAGCACACAAGCGCGGTCTCGTGGCCCACGTACTTTGCATCAACCGCAGGCTGCTCTCTCACGAAAACGCGGGAATAAACGACGATGTAACTTGCCACATCTTCCTTTGTCACGGAGGCGTTGCTTGGACCAGTGTCATCCAGTCTTCGAGCAGCCTTCTCTGCATCTTCAGGAACGAAGTGTTCCAGCAGGTTCTCGCCGATGATGTACAGCTTTGTACGCGCTCGATCAAGCCAGTTCACATCCTTAAAGAAGCCTTGCTCTGCAAGTGATACCTCGACCTCATCCGTAGCTCCCAAGAGCCAGATCACGAAAGGCTTGTCTTCCGCTCCTGACGGAGAGGAAATGTCTACTGTCGCGCGCATGCTTTGCGTCTGGCCTGGGCGCATAGGATATCCGCGGATTCCCAGAGTCATCTGGGCAAAGGCCAGCGTACGGGCCCACGACTTCGCACGGCGTTCTTTTGGTGGTGCGGCGGCATGCTCCACGCGCAAGGCTTGGCTGAGAACCTCCGAGCACAACAGTAAACAAGGTAACCTGTGCTGGCAGCTGCTGCAAGGCCTCCAAGGACTCCCAGTACTGGGCTTCCAAGACTTCCTCCTCTGCATCGCTCTCAGCTTTGGGCATCTTGGGCCTGTGCGGATGGAGTTCCTGCCAAGCACGTTTGAGTGCCAGAAGGCTAAGCACAAGCGCCTACAACTTCGAGCGGTGCGTGGATCCTCGGAGAGGCGCTTGGCGACGACGTCTGTGCCCCAATGGCTGGAGCTACTGGGCTTGAAGCTCAGCGTCATCTCGTGCCAGTCCTCAGCACAGAGCTTAAAGACCTGCTGCTTCGGGCAGTGACCAATGGCGTTGAGGAGCCGGTCCATGCGTAACTCGGACAGACCCCACTAGCTCGGATTCCTCCTTGCATGTCCTTGGTCTCAAACGCCCTTTTTGCTTGGCACTGCTGGCTCAAACCACAATGCAAACACACGCTTGCATTGCGAAACAGCGATAGCGGTGATGGGACAGCCGGCTGCCATGAAATGCTGTTGCAAGGATACAGCTCGCGATCCTTCACGAGTTGGTGATACGTGGTGCATCCAAGGATCAGAAGCTCTGCCCTCAGCCAGCCCTCTTCCTCGTAGAGGACTCCAACCAGCGTGCCACCCAGAATATGTGGACCTTCATAAAGCCTGAGAACAGATCAAAGGTATGATGCTCCACTGTTGCATTCGCTGAAGCAAAGCCAGGAGGCAGTTGTCCGTCTTCGGTATGTTGGATCTCATACTGCTTCCCACTCCGGCCCTGCTCCCAGGTTCCTATCAAAGGCAAAGAGTTCTCCTGAGATACCAGGGTTCATCCAGTAGCAAATGCAACAACGCCTACACTCCCAGCTGAAAGCCTGGTGTGCAAATCAGCTGCGACAGTCTCCAGTAGTTCGACCAACTGCTCCTTGCTGTCGTACCGTTCTAGCTTGGTGACGCCATACCTCTGTGACTGGGAAGACTTTCCTGATGTTGCTGTGAGTGGACACTGGCTTATGCGTTTCCACCGAGCCGCCCCTTAAGAGCCAGCTTCGCCTCTGCCGCACTCAGCGCAGCAGCCGGGCCCACCACTGATGGCTCCTCGGGCTCTGCAGCCTGGCCAAGCAATGAGGATCTGTCAGGTGCATGCTCTAAGAATCCGCAGGGAGTGGATCCCATTACACAAAAGAGTGCTCGAACACGGCATCTCAGGATCCAGTGCCTCAAAGGCTGGCCTTCGACGCGGTTGCTCCTCACCGTGCCTCTCAGCAACCTGCAGTGTCTGACACCAGCATCAGGGATCTTTTTGCTCTGCTATTTTCTGATTGCGGGAAAGAGACGATGTTGCTTCCCCACTCGCCCATCGAATAGCTGCCTCAAGAACGCGGCATCCTACAAACTCGGAAGCAGAGCTGCAGCTTTCAAAGCTGAAGCCGAGGAGCGGAAGTTGGACACGACTGCATCCCTGCTGGAAGCGTGATGGCGCACGCGGATGGAGCCTTGAAGGGTGTGCTAAGTTCGCTTCAAATTACTCAAAATGCTCGACATCAACTGAGCCCCAAGACCAATGGGCTCGTTCTGGCCAGTGATCAGCTGGGCAAAGTACCAGCCATCCTCGTCCTCCTCCAGCACGCCGGACAGCATGCCGCCTGCAAACAACGCTGGGTAGCTATGGATTCGATCTGGGCAATTTCTTGTTGCCCAGCCTCGCGAATGGGGGCCTTCCCACTTAAGGGAACCATTCTGCAGAAGCTTGATCTCGTAGTGTTTCCGATTCGGATGCCGCCCGTACCTCCAACCAGCAGCAACCCGCCAATGGCACGAGTACAGCTACTGTCAATACAGCAGGAGCTAGCATCGACAGTACATCATTGGCCGGTCTAGACCAGTGACAATGAGAAGGCCATCCATGCTGAAGTCATCATCTGCAGTATCAGGATCAACCCCAACGACGCCCACCACGAGCACGATAATAATGGAATCACCAGTAACTAAGGAGAGTCAATAGCGCAGTGTGGTGACATTGGCCATCCTGAAACTGATAACCGCCATCGTTTTTGTCGTGGTTGCAACTTACGACGGGGAGCAGCAGCAGTCGCAACAGCATCTGCAGTAGTAGTCATAGTAAGCACAGGAGCCATTGTGAATGCGGACACGAAACTGATCATCAGAATGAAAAACAACCAAAATTCCGTCGAAGGCACTCCCATCTTCCCAAGAGAGGCAGAGCCACCTCGACTTTCTTGACCAGCTCCTTTCTGTTGATACGAAAAAAAAAGCTGCATGACCGTATCATACTATAACACTACATAATTCCCTGGATGTAAGGTACTAAGGTCATGCAGGATTGTTGGCATCCACCCTGGGAATCTTCAAGCTACGCAGCTGCAATCCTACAATAAGGTTCGACTGCACCTTATGCTGTGCGGCTGTGGCGAGTCAGCTTCTCCACCATCTCCACCGCTGCTGCAGCTGCTTCTGTTGTGTTGTGATTCCTCTTGTCCTGGAATCTCAGGCCTACTCAGAACCAAGCTTCCAAGAGAAGACCACGTTGATTGCAGCATCGCCCATGCTGGCTGACACCGTATTCCTTCACTGGGGGCTTCTGACATCGGAGTCTGAAATTCCGCAGGATGAGCTGATGGAGCCCTAGCCATGTACGCTCTGATTTGACTTCATACTGAGTGGTACCCGAAGTGGTCAAAAGAAAACCTGCGTCTCCGACTTCAAACGGTTGCACTGCACGGAAAAACCCTAAAGGAAAAGCTGCAACCATGAAGCCGAGAGGTGCTCACAGTTTCATGATGGCTATACCGCCGCGTCTTTCCATTGAGTTCTCCTACTTGGAAGGATGCGGGAAGCTTCCGCTACTCTGTGCCTTGAGGCACTCTTTGAGCTCGTCTGCGCTTAACTCATCCAGATCTTCGCTCGCCTCGATGGGGGTGAAGGCGGCCGGAGCCTGCAGCATTTTCAGGGCAAGTAGATTGTTATATTGGGATAATGGAAAATGAAATTGAAACTACTACATTGTAGGGTATAATATACGGGTATAATATTGGGGCCACTAGGGTATAATGGAAAAGGAAATGAAACTACCATGTGACAAAGTATGATATAGGGGTATAATGTAGGGGTACAATCTTGGGATTCTATGGGATATAATGGGAAATAAATGGAAACTACCATGTTACATAGCTTTCTATCCCCTGCACCTCATAACCGGAACCAAAGCCAATCTGACACGATGGCTTAGGATCACTGATGGGCGGTCGAAAGATGCAACGCTCCTTCGAGGCGCCTCAGCAGAGAATGAAGGGATCCAGGAAATTCCTGCTACCACTATTGGGGGTTTCCCAAAACTAGGGGTACCATTTAGGGGGGTCCCTATAATAAGGATTAAAGTATTTTGGGGTCTATATTGGAGTCCCCCTAAAACTATGCTACAACATAGTACTACTACGATTGTTACTATGATTGTCCATACATGTGATACTGCCTGCATGGCCCCTGCAAAGGATGACACGCATAGGTCAAGCCAAGCATGACCCCTGCGCAAGAATGACACGCCATTGCACATGGCTCAAGATGACACGCACAAATCGAGAGTGCGCCTGTGGGATTGCCCTAGGACCTCCCTTCGCCCCTTCGGAGTAGCTTCAGGGAGGGTCGACAGGGTCAAGGCCAGGAGGTAAGGTGTTTTCTGACTGGGAGTTCTGATGGTGGTGTAATTTCGGAGCTTGCTGTGCAATCTACTGTGCCACTATGGCTTCGGATTACAATCATCTTGATGATGTTCCCATGAGCATTAGGCGAAACCTTCCTCAAAGTAGTCCTGCGTTCTCGATAGTGACCGATACAAATTCCCCTGAGGGTGTTCATCAAACACAGGTGATGAGCCCAAATGCACCCAGCATTTCGTTGCTAGCATCTCAACCGGCGGCAGCTGCATCCAATGAGACTATCCAGCTTCGCTTTCAACAGATGCTACAAATGCAAGCCCCAGCAGACTTGATTCGAATGCTTCAATCTGGACAGGGTGTCAATGCAGAGGCAAAGACAGCCAAGGATGTTCAGGGCAACGTGAACAAAGTTGCTATGGAGCTTGAATTTAGGACTGAGAAATTGGCGGCCTGCGTTACAACGCTCACAGGGGATCTGGAAAGTATTAAGCAACAGCATGAGATCTTGATTAGGACGGCGCATGACCAACAGGCGGGCCTGAGTACCATGGATGGTGCGGTCAAGGCTCTGACTGAGCGCATCCAACATCTTGAGACGGCTATTGCTCATATTTCCAGACAACAAGTCTCGCTTGAATCGACGTTGGCGATTCGAGTTGAGGCGGTGGAAGAACGGACAAAGGCAACTCTCTTGCAACACGCTCAAAGTTCCCCGGTGGACGCACTGGCAGACGAGATTGGCTCGATGAAGACAGTTTTGTCGCGACTTGAGTGCACGCAAGAGGAGTTGGAGAAGCGATCGCGATCAAAGTTTGAGGAGCTCGCGAAATCCTTGTCACTTGGAAATGAGCGGGCTGCTGATATGGATACGAGATTAAGACTGGCTTTGGAGAGGATAGTGGGTAACGAAAGATTATGCGAGAAGCTGCGGAAAGCTGACGCTGACCTGGAGGCCCAACTCCAAGAGCTGGTGAACCATTTTGAGGAGGAGTCCCCATCCACGCCGCGGCAGACAGCAGCAGCAGAGAATGAGGACGAGACTCAAGACAATGAAGAACTACCGAAGACGCCAAAAGCGGCAAAGCAACCGGTGGAGTTTAAGATGACCCCGCATATGGACAATGTTACATGGCAGAAGGATGATACGTCTGGATGGCTTGAAGATGATGGGCTGGAGAGCTCAGCGGCAGCTGTCCTACGGGATAGTAAGCCGAGGTTGGGAATATCTTCATCACCTCCGGGATTGCCGAAACATCTGAAGAAGGCCGTGGACATCCATCTGCTTGGAAGTTGCTGAAGGAGATGCCTAAGCTGAACACCACGTCTTCAGAGGCCTGGGAGAAAGGGATGGCATTTCGACAATGGACAACTGAAATGGCAGCAATAGCGGAGGCAATCCATCCTTCATTTGCTGAGTACTTCCGGAGTAAACTGAGTGAGGGCCAGACCCGTTATGAAAAGAGGTTGGATCAGGGATACGCAGAACCTGCTTCTGGGGTGCGTGTGGAAGACAAAGAGATGGAAACTCGTCTTCCGCTGGCACTGCTTCGGGTCATACCGGCCAAGATGAAAGCCCACGCGCTGGAAGGCGGTACGACGGAGGAAGGGATCAGCACTGCGCAGCTGATGGAGGCTGTGTATGAGCACATGGCCCCCGGAGGCGTTCGAGAGCGGAGCTCCTTGTTGCAGTATTTAAGGGCCCCTCCTCCAGCAAACAATGGGGAAGAGCTCATGAATACACTGCGGAGGTTTCGGTTGGCGCAGCAGAGAGCCGTACATCTTGGGACACTGACTCAGCCGGCCCATGAGCTGGTTGCAGCCCTTGACGCTATGGTCCGTCCATTGGAGCGCAAACATCAACCCTTGAGTGTGCGACTTGGAATTCTACGGTTGCAGGCGAACATTCAGCTTCCAACTGCTGATGGCGTCGAGCTTTATGCTAAGATCCTGGAGACTGAAGGGATCAAGCTACAAGCTGAGGAAGTGAACAAACCCAAGGGCGGAAGGGCTGACAGCCAGTCTGCCTCGGAGGAGTATACTGTGCCATCTGCGTCTCAGGCCGAGTCTGGAGGCAAGGGCGGCGGCAAGAAAGGAGTGAGAGTTTGTGCCTACTACAACTCAGCTCGCGGTTGTCTGAAAGGTGCTGAGTGTGAGTTTCGTCATGAGGATCCCCAACCAAAAGGAAAAGGGACCAAAGGCGGCAGAGACGCCAAAGGCACCGAAAAGGGGAAAGCGTCGGCAGAGGCCAAAGCTGGCGCGAAGGCAAAAGCAAAAGCTTCAGCAAGCAGCAGCTGAGGCAGAGGCCAAAGCAGAGGCAAAGAGGAAGGCTAAGGCGGACAAGAAGGCCGCTAAGGCAGCCGCCAAAGCGGTAGCCGCCTCCGCGACAGATTCTGCAACTGCCTCTAGTGCTACTGCAGCCAGTGTCACGGCCGAGGCGATCCCACTCCTAGCTGGAGCATCCTCAGGTCCTTCGTCGAAGATCGCGAGGTTCCTAGCCTGGCGGGAGCAGATTCCGTTAGTATGGTTCTATCGTCCAGCGGAGATGACTTGACTGAGAGAGGAGAGATTCCCACTTACTCGGAGGCGAGTACTCCAGAGTGGTCGGATGTGGAACATGGAAATGTGGTGAGTCCAGTTAGTTCTCAGGATAGTGAGATCGAGTTGATTGGACCACGGCATCCCCCAGCACCACTATGGGCACTGAACTTGAGCCTGAATGAGTTTTTGGAGTGGTGCAGACCTGGAAGAGTCCAGGAGTTCGCGCTTGGACAGTTTGAAGAGGTCACAAATGTGAACTCAATCCTGTGGCCAGTATGGTGGACAATTGAGCGAGACATGCTGGATGACGACGAGAGAGGAGTCATTCCGGTTACGGATGAGGTGCGCATGATGAAGCTGAGCACCACTATGATCCTGTTTAGTGATGGGATTATTAGACCGGTGTTTTTGGCGTGGTTGTTGGATGAGATGTCAGGCAGAGACCGCACGGTAGCCATAATACGCGAGCCGGCAAGGCCGATTGTGAGGCCATATCCTGCACAGACCGGGGCAGCTACTCCAGAGTTGAGCAAGGCAGCACCTCCGAAGTTTGGTCGTGTAGCCAAGTCACCTACTGTTTCTCCCCCGCCACTTGGATACACGCAGCAGCCGGACGTCTTAACAGCTTTGTTGCAGGTGGTAGACGAAGGAGCTTCTTCTGCTTCGAGTAGCTCTCTTCCAATTGCCAAAGTTTTGGGAGCGGCAGCAGCGAAATCTAAAGCATCCGCAGCCAAAGCAAATCCACCATCCAAAGCATCCGCAGCATCCACAGTCAAAGCTAATTCACCACCCAAAGCATCCGCAGCATCCGCAGTCAAAGCTAATCCACCACCCAAAGCATCCGCAGCATCCGCAGTCAAAGCAAATCCACCACCCAAAGCATCCGCAGCACCTAGTCCCAATCCTGCAACGTCAGCAGCAGCTAGGGGGTCGACGGAGTCACATGCTAGAGCTATGAGATGTGTTTGCGTGGAGGATGAGGCCAACGATGATCCGCCATGGCTCGCCGGAGCTGGGATGAAGGAAGGAACAGCATACCGTCTGGAGTGCGATGATCAACCCGCAGCTTGTGCTGTTGTGTCGGAGCACCCTTCAGTGTTGGTTGACTCAGGCGCGAATGAGACGATTCGTCCTTGGACACAAGGATTCAGTGAAGCAGGCTGTAAGCGCACTTCCGTCGTTACTGCGAGTGGAGATAGGATCCCAGCATTGCGCACCAGAGATGGAGAGTTGCGCATACAGTCAAGTCACGACACCAAAGATTGGCTTTTGAGTGTGCGCCGATTGGTGGAAGCAGGTGGGTCTTTCGATTGGACTCCAGAAGCCGCTGTGGTCACTTATGTGGATGCAGGAGGAAAGATGCAGCAGGTTCAATGCAAGATCACCCTGGAATGGGAAGAGTTCAGGCCAATCCGAGTGGCCCTGTCGCAGGCGTATCGAGGCAAGCAGACGCGTGCTTCTGTGGCTGTTGGGGCAGAAGATGACTTGAAGACCAGCGAGGCCTGCACCATGGAGGTGCTCAATGAAATCATGTGCGCCGAGGAAGTCTACAGGTTATCTGCGGCTGAGAAAGACGAGGAGGTCAGGGCGGTGTGGAGCTCAGAAGCTCGAGCAAAAGAGCTCCTGAATCAGGATGCCTTGACCTATGAGGCTGTGTGGCAGGTGGTTCAGGAGGCTCACCTGAAGGGCCAGCGGACAAGGCGTCAGGAGAAGATGGTGGACCAGAGCTCCGATAGGGTTCAGATATGGATTTTTGGCATGTTCTGTCATGGAGGTATGTCTGGAGTCACAAATATCACACGACAAAGACCGTTCCTGTGCAAGTTGCTGGTAAGATTTCTGAAGCAAGAGTTGCCTACGTTGTCTTTCACCACGATTGCACTGGCTATCGATGCTACTCTCAAGCCACATCGAGATCTGGCGAATGCCAAATATTCCCTAGCTGGAATACTTGGTTTGTCGGAATTTGAAGGCGGGAAGTTGTGGATCGAAGACGCTGAGGGGAAAATCAAGAGAAGAGTGACGCAAGATCAAATCAAGACTGGTGTGCTTTTGGATATCAGTCAGCAAGCGAAAATCTTCGATTCGCGGAGGTGGCATGGTGCGGACAAGCATCGTGGGACCCGGGCAACGCTGACTGGATACACGGCTCGTCAGCTGTACAACCTGGATCACGACTTGGTTGAGACACTGAGAAACTTGGGATTCCAGTTGCCGCCTACAGCCAAAGCAGGAACAGCCAGCAGCATCAGCGACCAACACGCAGCAATCAACAACACCACGTGCTCCACCAGCAAGCACACCTCCACACTCACAACCTCCTTAACATCCCCTGAGACCCAAGATGAGGATGATGATGATGATGATGATGGTGTTTCAGTCTTCGGGTTTGCTGGGTTTGTTAATTCCGGGACGTCGGGGCGTTGTGAGGATTGTGGGGTGGTCCTTGAGGGTCTGCGTAGAGATTCGGAGCCGCCATGGACTGCTCTGGCAGCTGAAATCGAGGGAGCCAGTTCAGGCTTTGATGAAGCTGCTCAACAGAGAGCTCTGGACTTACTGCAGCGAAAGTGTGCTGAAGGTTTGTACGAGAAGAAATGTCCAGATTGTCTGGAGTCACATGGGCATAAGCGGAAGTGCAGGCGCTTGACGGCTGATATGGTTTCCAAGGGAACGTTGTCGATGGATCTCTCAGGTCCTCACCCGGCTTCATTTGCTGGTCACAGATATTTCCTAGCAGCCAATCTCAGTGTTGAGGATGGAGAAGATATCCCTTTCTCACGACTTCTGTTCACTAAGAAGACTGAAGAAGTAGCCCGCGCTCTCATTTCTGTGATGTGTCAGATTGTGTCACTGGCTCAGGGCATTCCGCAGATCTTTAGGATACACAGTGATGCTGGCAAAGAGTTTACTGGAGGTTTGTTTCAAGAAGCTGTATCAAAGTGCAGTATATGGCCTACTATGAGCGCCCCGTATACCCCTCAACAAAACGGGAAAGCGGAACGTTTGGTGGGTCCCTTGAAGTCTGCTGCTGGAGCTTTGTTGTTGCATGCGCAGTTACCTTTGCAGCTTTGGAGTGAAGCCATCCTGGAAGCAACCTTTCTCCGTCGGAGCCGAGCATTGAAGCTGTTGATTCCAAAAGACAGACCCAAAATGGGAGATACAGCGCTTGTGAGGAAGCCCCCACTTTCAATGGAACATCCGTTCGAACCTCGGGCGGAAGAAGGAGTGTTTCCGGCAAACGATGAGCGAACGCCAGGAGGAGCCAGGGTCATGGTGGTAAGGGATGGTGCTACTTCTGTACGAGTGGTTAGGCTGCCAGTGCTGAAGGACAAGCCTGTTGCCAGATGGAAGCTGGAAAGAGGTCTTCGCGAGGGAGTGGTATGGATCAGCACCACCGGCGACCTTCGATGGGACGCGCCTCCCTCAGACATGATCACTGTTGAGGAGTCAGTGGGAGAGATCCAGCCATGGAATGATGTCAATGCTGCCTCTGAGATTTTACGGGAGAGGCTTCGCAAGCACATGGTGCCTGAGACAGAGCGACAGTTGTTCGGACTGTTTGGTCATAGGCGTTTATGGTTGCGCCGGAGCCAGAAGCTGTGGATCCAGATCCAGTGGCTGCTGTAGCTCATCAGGAGGAGTTCCAGCGTGAGTCGACAGAAGGTTTTTACCGTGTGTACGACGTTGCCACAGAAGACTCTATGAATGAGTTGGAAACAGCCGTGCAATTGTTAGCTGATGAGGAGGCAGTTGGTGAACCAGTCTCAACGAACATCTTTTTCACTGGAACTCCAGAGGAAAAGAAAATCTGGTATGATGCTGCTAAAACCGAAGTTGACAACATGGTTTCAAGCAACGCGTGGGTGGAAGTGAGGGTAGATCATGCACATGTGGATTTGAACTTGGACAGGTCAAAGAAGCTGCCGCGGGCGTTGCCCATGACATTGGTGTGCACTCGCAAGCCGTTGATCATGCAAGACGACCAGCCAACGGAGCAGGTCGACACTGGCCAAGTGGTTCAGCAGCTGTTGGAACCGTCGATTAAAGGTTCTCAATCAGCGAGTGCAGTTCAGGCCCATGAAAGGATGAGGTACAAGCCTAAGGTCAGGTTGTGCGTTTGTGGCAACTTCCAAGAAGCCCAGCCTCACCTGAAGGATGAGAACGCGGCAGAAACTGTGCCCATCGAGATTGTTCGCTTGATGCTGGCTTTACTGGCGAGAAATCCTTCGTGGAATGCGCTATCGCTGGATGTGTCTGCAGCATTCCTGAATGCAGAGCTAGGAAACAAGGAGACCATCCTGATGAAGCCTCCATTGGCCCTCGTCAAACTTGGCTTGATACCGGCTGGAGTGTGGTTACGGGCATTGCGGGCCATATATGGGCTGAGACAATCTCCCGCCCGATGGGAGGAGCTTCGAGACTCTGTGCTTAAAGGAGCAGTTCTTCATCCAGAGGAGAGCGACGCGTTGCCAATCTTGATCGTTGAGGCGTTCCAAGGCACGGGTGGTGTTTTCTTGATTCGACATCAGGTGACTTCCGAGCTTGTTGGGATGCTATGCGTTTTTGTGGACGACGTTCTAGCAATTGGATCAGCAGAAGTTGTGCTGAGAACTGGTCAATACATCCTGAATGTTTGGAAAGGCAAGCTACAAGGCATGCTTTCTAGATCGGATGATCAGTCATGGTCTCGAGGAAGCTTGGAAGTCAAAGCCGTGGCGGAACTCGTCTTCATCGGCATTCAAATTTTCTTGAAGAACGAGACGGTTGCTATGACCCAGCAAAAGTGGACAATCAAGCAGCTGAATATCAGAGGCTTTCTTCACATCAAGGGAAGTCCGAGCCTTCCTGCCACTGAGGAAGGGAAACTTTCAAAGGGAGATGAAGATCAGTGCAATGCCAAGTTGATTAAGGAAGCTCAGCGGGAGCTTGGAGCTCTCTTGTGGTTGGCTACTAAGACGAGGCCTGACTTGGCGTCCACAGTTGGGATTTTGGCAACGTTGGTGGTGTTGAGGCCAGATCTTGTGCTACAGAAGACAGTTGGGGTTTGGAAATATGTTCGACACACTATGTTTTATGGAATAGAGTTTGGCCCTGACAATACAAACAATGTTTTATCTCTTGAGTCAGACGCTTCGTTTGGAAGTGGAGGATCTAGATCTAGATCTGGACATGTGATTCGATGGGGAAGCAATGTTTTAATGTATCGGTCGGCGCGCCAAACCTTGACAGCCCACTCAACTTGCGAAGCCGAGACTGGAGCAATGGCAGACGCAATAGCAGACATGCTAAAGATTGCGATTTTTGTTGGACAGGTTGGAGAAATCTCTGCATTGAAGGCAGAGGGCGACAATGCAGCTTCGTTGGCTACCTTGGCCAAGGCTCGATTTCAGGAGACGCTGTGGAGAACTCGTCACTTTGCCCTCCGGGCATCATGGGTCAGAGACATGTTGCGAGAGCACGGCATCGAGCTGAGCCACAAGGCAAGAGAAGAGTTGTCGGCCGACCTACTGACAAAGACTCTGGCGCGTGTGAAGCTGGAGCAGTTTCGAAAGCAGGTCTCAGTGGTGAAACTCCATGAAGGATGACGACAGAAGCTCTCTTGAGCGGACGATGCGAATCGTTACATGTGACACGTGTGTACCACGAACGCACTTTTGGGCTAGCTGAAGGTGGTAAGGACCGAAGGCTGGCAGTTGCATGACAGAATGAAACCGGGTTTTCACCGAAGGAATAGTCCAGTGAAACCTAGGACCCAGATGTTAATGTTAGGATGCATGTAGGAATCATTCAGGTTTGCTCTCGGTCATGGTAGGTGTGCTCATTGGAGCAGAGAAAACAAGTTTTATGCCTCGAAAGAAGAAAGAGCCGCAAACGGCAAGGGAGCCTGTACGGGGCGCAGGACCAAGAGCCAGAGAGGCCAAGCACGCTGTTTTGTAGTTCATGACCGTAACTAGGAGGGCACCTGAGTGTGTACAGGATTCATAGGTGGACAACTGTAACCGCATTCCCCTCCGCACCTGAAGGCTCATGCGAGGAGGAGTGTGATTGTCCATACATGTGATACTGCCTGCATGTCCCCTGCAAAGGATGACACGCATAGGTCAAGCCAAGCATGACCCCTGCGCAAGAATGACACGCCATTGCACATGGCTCAAGATGACACGCACAAATCGAGAGTGCGCCTGTGGGATTGCCCTAGGACCTCCCTTCGCCCCTTCGGAGTAGCTTCAGGGAGGGTCGACAGGGTCAAGGCCAGGAGGTAAGGTGTTTTCTGACTGGGAGTTCTGATGGTGGTGTAATTTCGGAGCTTGCTGTGCAATCTACTGTGCCACTATGGCTTCGGATTACAATCATCTTGATGATGTTCCCATGAGCATGAGGCGAAACCTTCCTCAAAGTAGTCCTGCGTTCTCGATAGTGACCGATACAATTTCCCCTGAGGGTGTTCATCAAACACAGTTACTATTACGATTAATATGATTATGACCATTACTGCAAACAGTAACCTTGTTAGCCCAGATCCAACTGCGAGCGAGGAACGTGTTGCCCGAAGATCAACACCCCAGTGTGCGCTGCAGCTTGTCTTGAAGTTGAGGCTCAGCTCATTCCTCAAGTACATGTAGGACCAAAACCGGACCCAAAACCCCAAGCCCTCAAGTTAGATATCTCCATTCTTCATTTGCCTCGTCCAATTTGCCAAAGGCCAAGGGTCCAATCAGGCCCGTGCCTGAAGCGGACTGAGCCGATCAAGAGGTCTCCAGAGGTGAAGAGTTCGCTGCGAATCCACATACCCTCAAAATACATGGCCTTGGATATCTTGACAAAGCTGCAAGTACACTGCATGCCAACTTCGAAATAAAGCACTGCAACCCGGAATTACCATCCCAGTTATGTAACAAGAGCTGAGGGTCGCCAAGCAAAGGCTCCCCAGTGATATGTTGGCCTTCCCACGCCAGCTTGCCATCTTTGGTCAGGTGGATAATGTAGTGGCTTCGATGCTTGGCTTGCTCCTGGGCCGCAACTCGACTCTCAAGGCTTTTATGGGGGTGCATTCCTGGATGCACCAAGAAAATGGAGAATTGAATGGAAAATGGAATGGAAACTCGGGTTCACAGGCATAGGTGCATACATATGAGCACATATAGCTATCCGTAAAATTGGGGGCCATCCTTCTACCCGCCCACATTCCATTCCAGGACTATTGTTTGCTTCCTCAGGCCCGCGCCCAAGTGCCAACCAACGGCAGGAGAGCTTCCACATCTCGCAAATGTTCCTTGGGATTGAAGCGCCTCACGCCGGAAGCCGGGTCTGTCACACCATACTCCTGCACAAGCAAGGGAATACCATTTGCATTACTTACAGGCCTCGGGCTGCACCGTTTCTATCACACTTGCGGAAAGTATATGTAGCAACACAAGGGGGCTCAGTCAAGCGCTTCTCATCAGTCCTCCAGGCATCGCTTGATTTCGGCATGTGACAAGCAATCCTCAGGAACTGAGGATTTTGTAGTGTCTTCGAGAGAAACTACACCAAAGCCAAGGAACCACATTTGTATCGATTTTGATATTGGCGAAGAGGTCAGCAGTTGCAGGATCTCGGACCTGCAAACAAACTGATTGCCACACCTGCACCACATTGCCAGCAGGCCAATGTCTTGAGAACGGCCAGAATCCCAAAAAAAACTTACAGGACACACCGGTTACGGTTTGTGGAGGCTTCGCCGCCTGCGTCCGAGAGGAGCTTGTTGCCTGGCTCATGCGCCATGGTGGGTCGTCCACGGGCCCACTTTGCCGCTGCATGGGCAGCTGGCTTCATTCCTGGCCTCGGCCCAAGTTTCACCACTGAGCATCACCCACCAAGTAGGGCCTCTCGGGCTCCAGCAACTCCATCAAACGTGCGGCTGCCGACATCCCTCAAGCATGAGGCATCTAGCCTTACCGGCTATATGGGCGCTTGGTGTGTAAATCTAGGCTTCATGCTTAACCCAACAACCCCTGTGCAGAAGTGATTACTTGCTGCTTGAAGCGAAACAGAGCCAAATGCTTACGGACACCATGCGCAATCGAACCCAAACATTTCTGCAGGAAGGACACCAAGGCATGAAGGAAGACACAAAGCGTTCCAGGCATTATGCTTCCAACCGCTGGGAGGAGTCACCGCATTGCACTTCGGCAGGGGTTCCAGAAAGTTAAGCACCACAACAATGCCGGCAGCATTGTCTGCTGCACTGACGTTACCGGCATTTTGGATGATTGCCTGGTTGGTTTGGGCAGCATCCTGTGGCTGCTCTGTGGTGCGAAGCGCCTTTCGCATGTGGGTTAAGGCGAGCTGGTCCTTGAGGAGGTTCTAGACTCCGTCAGACGCCAGAACCCATGAGAAAGTCCGTCTGCTCGTCATGTTGAAATACGTTCAACCTTGTCCACGTCCATGGCAACTTAGCACCAACTCTGCCAACACGCCTTCCATCTCGCAACTGCGCGCTCTGTTGTCACTCACATTCGGAGCGCTGGATGAAGGCCACGGCTTCCGAGACCCGCCGCACCAGCCCGCCCATCAGCGGCAGCGAATGGTCGATCTCATGCAACCTGAAGCTGGGAAAGCGAAGAGAGCAAAACAGCAAAGCTATCAACCGAAGCTATACCCTAAAGATCCAACTAGCCCAACGTAGGTAATATTCATTTATGGGCTTTAGGGCCCAATGTAGGCAATATATGGTAATATTTGAAAACTTTGATTCCTAAGGCCTCAAAAATTCGAGCGTGAAGCCTCCAGGCTGGAACCCAGGCATGTCCGAAGCACTCAGCAGGTTCCGCACCAGGTAAACAAGGCAGCGCGCTTGAAATATCTGCGCACTCCCAGCTGTCCTTTGCTGCTCCAAAAGTTCCAGGCCCATCAAGTAGAAGGACCCACCAGTCACACTCCTTGCCCTCTCCACACCTTGGTTGCAAATCTTGACAGCACGATGTACGATTGCTTGATTCAACAGGATGCAAAAATCTAAGGTCAGCAACTGAGAACCAGGCTTGGAAAAGTACCTTGGCCGTCGAGCTCCTCAAAGCAGCTCACGACGGCTAATGGGGCTGGGATAGTTGCAGGTGATGAGGAGATGTGCAAGGCCGCACATACATGCAAAGCCCGCATAGGTATGTTGGAAATGTGAAGTGCTGCTCCCCTTGCAATTGACGTTCCTGCCAATCGACATAGGAGCTGCAACTTTAGGAGCATTACGGATCTTTGGGGATTCCAATGACAATTACAGGGATCCCTGAATTGTACGCTGGGCCAACTTTGAGAAAATCTCAATTGTGGACTGGACCGCTTATGCTGAACGGCCAACACGAATATGCTACGTCTACAGCCTCCTAAGTAGAAAGAATATGGCTTTGGGTATACTATAATAGGATCCCCATATACCCTATATTCTATCTACTTAAGGGGGACTATACCATGGCAGCAAGTGCAAGGGCTTCGGGTGCAGGGATGGGGGTTTGGCTTTTTGTCTTGTCGCGCCTTTTTCGAGCTGCTTCTGCAGAAGAGCTTTGGATTTAGGGCTTGGGGTTTTGCATTTCCCTGGATGTTTAAATCAAGCAGCTGAGGAACATCAATTCTTAAGATGTGCTGTAAGAGGACCAAAACGAGCTCGTAAATCAACTTTTTGAAGTTGCTTGTTGATTTGGAGCTGACAAAACAGATTGGGATTGTGGTTGAAGCTAGCTGCCAAACTAACCGGACTGTGATAACCGAATGACATTATGGTTTAAGTTACCTGGTTCCTTATGTGGTTCTCGAAACTGATTACTCCATCTTTTGCCTGGTACAGACTGGCTAGTCCTGCAAGGTCAACAGACCTGTGTGAAGAGAAATTACTTACCTGAGCAGGCGTGTGGGTGGTATTCAGGGGCTGAATCTTTTGAAGTACTAAAATCTGCTTGGGATCGAAGAAATCTTGCACCACCTGAGGACGCGATAATACCTCACTTCCTTGAGTATAGGGTATATAACATGCTGCTGCTACAAGATTTCCTTCAACCATCAAGTCACTATCCTGCAAACTAGCCCAGCTATAGTGACCCATTAACCTCCAGGCACATGGGGGTGTAAACCTGTTACCAGGCCATGACTACATGAAAGCATGCGTGTTGCATTGCTGTCCTGACTTCTGCGCGTGACGTCGGAGATTGCTTGGTGCTTCTGGCAAAAGCCCAACGTCAAGAAGACCACACTCCTCGAACACCTGGTACAAGCCATAGCTAAGCTTTTGAAGATTCAGGATCTTTTTTGGAGCAAGCTTACACGAGGAAAATCCCCTTCGGGGTACGCCTCATCAGTCCCCTGACTTCGAATGTGCCACAGATCCTTCTGCAAATCAGCATATTCACTTCAAAGAGCTGGTGAAGTAGCTGCTCCAGTAGCTGTTTAGGAAGAAGTAAGTATTCACAGACGAAGTGTCTGCAAACAAAGCAATCGATGCTAGACTGATGCTAGAGCTTCGCCGTTTTGAGGCTCTTCAACATGTGCCAAGAATCTTACAGGTGCCGACTTCTCCTGATAAGCATCCTAAAGCAGAGAAGGCAAAGGTCAGGTCTGACCAAACACCACCAAAGCCTCCCGGAGAGCGGTGACCGAGCTGTCCCGGTCCGTAGAATCACGCATGCCGCCCACCGTTCCCAAATGACCTGGCATAACCTGTGTCCATGAGATGCCGACGGCACAGCTTTCTGTGAGCGCTGAAAAGTCTTCCAAGCTTCGGACTCGCATCGAAAGGCTGCGCAGCTGCAGCAGCACGTGCAGCTGTCCCAACATCTGCCGGAGTATCACCACCTCTGTCTGCAGTTGCTACATTTAGCTGGTTCCTCTTCATGTCAGCCCATGCATTTCTTGAATAACCTCGTGCCTGCGCGTTCTTCTGCCTTGCGCCGAGCTGTGGCCAGACATGCGAAGCAGGAGCATTGGAGGCAGCTGCTTGCGTGTCTATGTGTCTGCCCTTGCAAGGTATAGGTGACTGCACGATACTGCACGTTATCACCCTGAGCCCCATGCCACTGTGCTTGGTTTGAGGATGTGACATGATACGACATGATATTAGTTTTCAAGTGTTTATCAGCCGAAAACTTCTGTTTTTGTCCTCAAAGTCTGCCGGTCCAAGGATTCATTCCACGGACATCGGGCTTTTCGGCTAGCAACCCGTGCCTCTGGATGCAGGAACCAGCAATCTGCTCGCAGACAACGGTAGCCATATCTACAGGACACAGCACTTTCGGAGGCAACAGCAGCGGGCCATGGCATTGCGCGTTGCTACGAGTAATTGGTTTTGGCTGTAAGCATTTTAGGCACCCACTTGCATCCATACTGCTGAGAAGGGGCCGCTTGTGCATGCAAATCTAGGCTGAGGAAGCTAATCATGCCTACACTAAGCTGGAACAAATTCTTAGTCAAGGTTGAAAAAGCACGGCCTCAGGGCACAAACAAATGATCCCGGATTGCTCTGTTGGACCTAGGCTCGCTTTTTGGCTGCGCTTCAAACATCAACATTGTTGCTCTGCGGATGAACACTGCCTATGCACGCATCTTGAGCCCGAAGGACGTCATATATTTTGAGGCAAGGTTCTTACATTTGTCAGGTTCGACGTTTAGGGTTTGGGTTCAGGCTTAGGCTTCCCTAAGCCTGAGAACCAGTCTTTCCAAGAATGTAGATAGAGCGCCCAGTCTTGAAACAAAGATTGCTTCAGCATTCAGAATTGAGGGCGAAGTGGCTTGCCTGTACAGAATCGTGCGCCAACCAGGATCGAATGCGAAGCCTGGCTGGTTCGGAACGTCATGGAGCTTCCACGACCTGAGCGCCTCCTATGAGCATCAGTACGGCTGTTTCACGAGCCCCCTGTTCCTCGTGCTCAGCACTCAGGGAAGATTACGGACCCCAAAAAAAAAGCATGCCGGCAGACTTCGCAAACAAATTTCCTGAAGCTTGCTTGCTATTTTGGGGGTCCTTCTTCAGAAATTCAAGGATTTACAAAATACAAAATTTACGCACGGTCCCGGAGCATTCCCTCAGTCCAGCCAGCCAAAACCTGGGCCACCTTTCCGGCAAAGGCGCCCACCTTCTTGTTCTTCACGAAATATTCCTCAGATCCTACAGCCTAATCCTCCCCAGCCTTGTTTTTTTTTAGCGTTTAGGGTTTAGGGCCACCCAACCCCCGAATATCTAATACTCGCATTACGGTATATCATGATACATTGGGAGTAGTTAATATTAGAGGGGTGGGCGGAGGGGATTTATGGTTATGGGCGTAGAGATTGTGTAGGACGGATTGTAAAGGGGCCCGGGAATTGGTCAAAACCCTGCTATGAGCTAAAGAGTTGGTCTGTTGACATCTCTTGGTGAGGATCCACATGAGCTGTAGTCTAAACCCCTTAAAGGGGGTCATATAGGGCATTATACAGGGGACTACAATAGGGGTTAGTAAGAGGGATACTAGGAGTTTAGGCTATAGCTCACATGACGATGATTGTGCTTTGAAGATGTAGGGGGGCGCAAATCTTTTCACATGCCCAGATCCATCGGGGCTGCAACGTATAGGCCAGCAAGCACACCTCCAATACCCAGTCCTAAACGTCCTGCAATGTTTTCTTGGATACAAAGCCTCTTCACAATGAAGTCCCAAGTGTCGTTGGTGAGGTGGCTCAACGCAAGGCAGATGGCGAGGTAGATCCTGTACAACCAGCGACACGATGAGCAACATGCCAGTGGCGCTTGCCAGGTTTGATCTACAGCAATGAAGTATTACAAAGATCTCGTCGAAGAGGACATGACTTGGTCAAGGCACCATGACAACCGAACTGCAGCCTAGCAGCGGGAAGAATCGGGTGGACATGGGCCCTCCCCACAACTTCCTGGCCAACACCTCAGACCAGTCAGCCGCTGCATGTTTCTGGCAAGCTCGCCCAAATCCAGGCCTTCTTGTAGAAGATCTGGCCAATGGGACCATGCCTTTGGAAGGCGACAGATCTCACGCAGGCAATACACCAGACTCTCCAGACTACAGGAAGAGTCAGAATGTCAAGACAAGCTGCAGGATGAACATGGGGAATGCGATGGACCCGAGAGTGGCCATCGGCTTGGAGCCAAAGAACTTGGTAATGGGGGCCTTGTAGCAGAAACTGTGCGGGGAAAGGAAATGCTCACGTTCCCCCACTCACTCCAAGGAACTGGATTGGCAGTCAACGCGTCACGATGCATCTGTGTCAGGAACTTGGTGAAGAGAGGCACGAAGAGCACACCCCGGATGATTGCATCCTCAGCTAAGGCAGAGAAAGCGAGTCCGTGGCAACCACCATATCAGAGACTGCCCAGCTGGGTAGGATCATGAAGAGCTTTGCGTCCTGTGATGCTGGCCCCCACATCGCCTGAGCTCAAGACGTTGAAGTCGAAGCTGGTCAGCCGCAGGCCAAGAGAGGCATAGGCAGCCAGGAACATCCAAAGAGGATTCCTGGTTGCCAGTGCAGATTTGCAACAAGATGAGCTGACCAGAGCAGACCATGCGCTTCACCGAGCCACGTTGTCGGCTTCTTCTTGTCCTCCTTGCAAGCAAGTCATTTGCTGAGTGGGTAGGGATACCGATATCCTGCCCACAGTACATCCTACAGCTGAGGTAGGTCCTCGGTGTCCAGCATCACGTGCCTGGCTGCCACGATGCCCATGGTCATCTCGATCAGTGCCCAGAAAGGATGGAAGCGAGTCAAGTTCCAGATCCTTGGGACCAGCCCAGCGTGGAAGAACACACTTCAGAGATGCTCTTAGCCGAGAGAGGGACAGAGGGTGCATGGCCTGGCCATTGACCTCAGAAGAAGCATGCAGATGGAATCCACATCACTGCTGGCTCCACCGGCCGAGGCACTGGGTGCTCCTTGCTGCTGTGGAAGCGCGCGGTCTCGGAGTACGAGACCTCCGCAGGAAAGCTCACCCACAACATGGGCTCGCGCCAGCATGCTGCACCTTCTGCAGCAGCGAGATGCCGGTGAGGGCGGCGAACAGCTTCTGAAGGCCTTGGCTTTCATCTAGCATGCCGGAAGTGGGCCAGAAGTGTTCCACGACTTTCCAGATGTTGCGAGATTTCGGTCCGAGGGGCCGTTCTTGGAGAGCTGCGCCACCTGTGGCAGCACCAGCGTCGGCATGGTGAGGTTAGAGAACGTCAGGGCCGACAGGAACCTGAGCAGAGACTCAGAACATGCAAGAAAAAACCTCTCAAGCCTCTAATGCCCTCTACGGCTCGGGCCAGGTGGGCTGGTTCCAAATCTCCGCCTCCTTGGGGAACCAGGCCTGGCCAGACCAGTCATGAACCGCAAGCTTCGCCCTGCTCGCAGAGCAAAGAAAATGCAGCGTGAGTCACGGGGCTTTTTCTCTCAGCGTCATTTCTTTCTACTCATCGCATGGCGAAAACGGGGCGGTTTTGACACATTGACATGTCTGTATCTGACGCACCCCCCTCTCAGCTGTCACGTTGCCCGTGCATGAGGTTTTCAGATGACGGGCTCTTGTTTTCAGATGTGTTTTGTGCAACCACCTACCTGTAGGAGATCACTTTCCCGTGGTCATGTCACTCCTCTTTTCGCAAGGTGGAAAAAGTGGCGGTTTGACAATATGTCTGTACCTGGCTTTCCCCCTGTCATGTCTTTTTACTTATTGCAAGGTGACACGGGGGTGGCTTTAACTTATGGCTGTACCCTCTTTCCCTCTGACTTGTCTTTCCAGTTATTGCAAGGTGAAACGTGGGTGGTTTTAACATAAAAAGGCTGCACATGGCTTTCCCTCTGTCACGTCTTTCGACATGTTATACTTATTGCAAAAGGGGGGCTCGCTTCCCTCTGTCATTTCACTTACCCTCAGTGAGCTCATTCCTCCCTCTTCCTGCAAGGGGCAAAAGGAATTGGTTTTAACCCATGGCTGCATCTGTTTTCCCCCTGTGACTTCATGCCATGTTTCGCAAGATGCAAGGAGGAGTCTTACCACATGTCTGTACTTGGCTTTCCCTCTGTCATATCTTTTGTACTTTTTGCAATGTGTTTAAACTATGTCTGTGCCTGTTCTTCCCTCTGTCCTTTCGTTCCTAATATGTGTTTACCTACGTACCATTTATCCTGACTCGCGGTCTATTTCATGTGTCGCGCATCTTTGATTGATTGATTGATTGATTGATTGATTGATTGATGGATTGCTTGTGAAGTCCACCCCCTGCATGTGCAAGGCACGTCGCTGCCCTTTGCAATGTTTCCCGACTTCTAGGGTTTTTCCTGACTCGTGCTTTTCATTTTTCCCTGACTCGTGCTTTTTCGCGACTCGTGCTTCCTTCGAGGCTCTTGCCCCTGCTTACGTGCCGAAACAAGAACAGTTTCTGAAGCAAACTGCAGTTCACTCCCCTTCTCTTCTTGGACTTCAAGGCTGGCTTGGGGAACTTCTTCTATGTCCCCACAGTCTTATGGGCTCACTAGAACACACGATCGTGATCATGCTTTGGGCATGGATGTTCTGATCATCGTATGCTCTTGGAACACGAACATCATTCTGCTTTGGGCATAAATGCTTTGGTAGCCCGATGTGGAAATCTGCGTTTCCTCAGGGGTCACTCAGGTCCGCGTCCCCAAGAAAAAGCTTAGCTTGTAATTTCGCTGAACAAGCTAATAACACAAGGCCGGCATGAGCAACGGGATCGTCGTTGGCTTGCATCCGTCTTTACAGCCAACAGCCTACATGTCGTAAATCTCATCGCTCAGATTCCGCTAGCATCAATCAGGAAATGTGAGGCGTGATGAGTTGTTTAACTCTGCTTAATCGCTCGTCAACCACCCAAGAAGCTTTGATGTTTAGCTCTGATATGATAAAAGAAGGACCCCCAAAGTGCTGAAGTGCTAAGGTTGTGGAAAGTAGCATCGAGTCTACCCAAAACCCATCTATTTCCTGAAGCGCTTTGGAGTATGAGGCACGGCCATGCAGCTGCTTGGGCCAACGGCCCAGAGGACATAAGAGGGCCTGTCTTTGAGCCCAATTTTACAGCCTAGAGGATCAAAAAGCGGAACTCAACTTTGAAAGTTGAAGACATGCTCAATTTGGTGCCAGCAAGCCTGCAGCATGCTGAAGTTCAGGAAGGCACGGAAGGCCGTAGTGGTCCAAGGCGTGTTGAACCACCTATCTGACATACAAACATCCCAAACATTGAAACATGGAAGATACCGGCCTTGAGTGCGCAGCTGTATGCTGTTCTAGAAGTTGCTGTGTGGACCCCCGCGAAATCTGCCAGGCCTCTCAACCTGGATGAACATCGGGGCGAAGAGGGTGGACACTACGAAGTGCAGGGGATAGTACGCCATGACCTCACACGCAAGTTTGGCGATGCAACAGCTCGCACTTCTGCTGGCCGACGGACCCTCTGCCAGAAGAAGAGCTCTGGATTGGCAAGCTTCTTGTCCTGAGCCAGTAGATGAGTAAAGATGCAGACAGAAATGCTTAGCAAGCCCAATCCGGTTCGGGAAGCGATGCACCCCCTCCCCCCACCCGCCCCTGAAAGGGTCCTCTGCCTTCCGCTCGCCCAGCTTTGTCGAGGTGTAAGCAGACACCTATGTCGCGCAGCTGGCACAACCACAAAGCCTAACGCAGAAAATCAGCTGAGACCACTACGTACCCTGAGATCACAAAGAATCCACCGACTAGCACGTTCTCCTGCGTGAGCAGCTTGAGTGCCGTCAGGTTCTTGGTGCCAAACCTGCATGTATGGACTGACAACAGGACTGTTTGTGCTGTGACCTAAACACCCACCTGGCAAAGTGCGCAACGACGATGGGGAAGACAAGCGCGAAGCGGCAACCGTCGATGCAATCGATGCGGGGCTTGGAGACCTCTGCTGTGGCAGCGGGGTCTTGATCACTCTTCCACCTGCTACACTGTTTGATCTTTCTATTTCTACACTCCACCTCATCCACGAATCTAAAGAAATGTCTCCAGCCTTAACAGGCTTGGCATCCTTCTTCGCATCAGGCGGCATTGCCATGGCCTTCGCATCAGCCTCACCGTACAGGGCCACCATGGACTAATAACTAATACCATGCCCGACCCGATCTGAAGGTCATCTGACGAGCGAAAATGAGGAGAAATTCCCAGCCGGACGTAACACAGCAGGAGGCTGCACCACGCAGTGATCATGATGCCCTCTGTACCCTGCGTGCGGGCAAGGCGCATCGATCCTTTGCGCCTCCGCGCTCATGATATCCAGAAACCTGGCATGAGCGGAGCCCCTTAATGTGACGCGTGAGACCCCGAAAGGAGTGCACAACGATAGGTCTGACGACATAAAGCCATCTCGCTGGTACAACAACTTACAACAAATGGCAACACAAGCGCAGGCGCCTGTAGATGTCCGCTGAAGCTGCCGCACAGAGTTTAGATACCCGGCCTTGAGCCACAGCGACAAATTTACAAGCAGCACTTGCATAGGCCTGACCCTTCCACACCCGCAAGCAAGGAGCAACAGAAGCAGCTACATGACACTAGTCCGCAAAAATCTATAGCTGCATAACCTGCCTGAGGGGGGCGTTCCAACCACGACAAGGAAACATGATGACACACCATCCTGCTCACAAGCTTCGTCAGTTGCTGCAAGCGGGCTAACAGCAGAATGGGAGTAGTCTGCAGCTTCACTGTATAACATAGCAATGGACACAAGCTCAGAGAAATTCTGTAGCACAGTCAGTTTTGCAAAATCTGGCCCATCAATCCTTCGTAGCAGCACGAAAACCATGCGAAAGCATTCTCGTCTGCAGGCTCTGCCTGGCCGGGTGTGACGCCAGCTATGCAGCGAAGCTGCGCCACTGGAAGGCATCAGCTGGATGGCCACCGAAGGAGAGGCCATTTGCATCCATTCGCCCTCACTGAGGCACTCTACAGACTCTTCACTTTACACTGCCCCGGAGTCTTCGGCCGGCTGCTGCATCCGCAGTGGCCTTCTCGAGCTCCTCATCCATGGGCTACGCCAGCAGATGCATTTGCGCGGCGCGCTTGGGGACAGCAGCTTGATCAGTCACACTCGTTGCCCGCAGTGCTGCTGCGGCGTCGAAACATCGCTACAGATTGGCAGAGCTCATTCCCGGCTTGCCGCGATTCGCTAGTTCAATGTCTCCCAAGCCCACGTTCTGCATCTGAATCTTATCCATGAGGGCAGATG